TTTGAATGCTGTAGGAGCTAGGCTTGGTGCTGCAGGCCTGTGAGCCGTGTTACTATAGTGGCTGAGACAAGATGGTGGAAAGTTCAAAGTCTCCTTGATCTATAATGTAAATTCAAGACCAGCCTAGGCAGTTTATGAAACCTTGTCTCAAAAACCCAAACAAGAAAGTTGGATGAGACTATGTGGAGTCAGTTAAAGGGGACCAGCAAAAGTGGGCTAGAATGAATGGGGGAGGAATAAATAGAATGATGGGCTGGAGAGATGGCTCAGTGGTTAAGAGCACTGGCTGCTCTTCCAGAGGACCTGGGTTCAATTCCCAGCACCCACGTAGCAGCTCACAGCTGTCTGTAACTCCAGGGGATCTAATAACCTCTTCTGGCCTCCATGGGCACTGCACACATGTGGTGCACAAACAGGCATGCAGACAGAACATCCATACACATAAAATAAAAAAAATGTTTTAAAAAGGAGAAATATAATACATATATGTATAGAAGCATCCCAATGGAAACCATTACCTGCCTCAAAAAGTTAATTTTAAAAAGTGAGTATCCCTAAAAAAATAAAATAAAGCCGGATGTGATGGCACACACCTTTAATCCCAGCACTCAGGAGGCAGAGGTAGGTGGATCTTTATGAGTTTGAGACCAACCTGGACTACAAAGCAAGTTCCAAGTCAGCAAGGACTGTTCCACACAGAAACCCTGTCTTGAAAAAATAAAATAAGCCAGGCATGGTGGCCCACATGTGTAATCCACAGTGTTTCTTTCCTGTGGGGGCTGTCTGACATGGCACCCTGTGAAGGCTGGAGAACAACTCGGGGAGCTCTTCTCTCCTTGTCCGGGTGGTAACCACCCTGGGATCCAGCGTAGACCCTCAGTCTTGTTGGCAGCCATCGTCTTGTGTTTCTAAATGTAACTTTCCCATTCCACCTCTCATTGTAGGTCCCTGGCGTTTCTCTTTCTGGTTTTGCTTTGCTTTAACTTGTGGTTACTTTGGTGTTTGAGATAGGATCTCGTGGAGGAGCTGGGAGTCATCATATAACAAGATGGTCTTTGACTCCTGATCTTCCTGCCCTCTGCCTTCATGTGACAGGCGTAAATCACCACTCCTAGCACAAGCATTTGTTTTTGTTTTGTGGTTTCTGTTTCTGGGAGACAGGCCTTTCTGTGTAGCTCAGGCTAGATTTGGATTTAGAAGCCTGTCTTCAGAATCCTGCTTACAGGTGTGTACACGACAGCCATGCAGAGCTTTACTGCTTGTCTCCTGTGTTGCAGCAGAGTCCTCGTATGTCCCTTTGCCTCCAGCCCCGTCTGTCGATTCATCCTAACCCCACAGTTAGAATAATGAAACTGAAGCAGAGCACACACTAACTGTGGTATTTAGTGTCATGTTTCCCAACTGCCTACAAGAGTCCAAATCCACAGTAGGCGAAATCACAGCAGAATTAATTAGCTCAAAGCTGTCCTGAGCTACACAGCAAGTTCGAGGCTAGCCTAGGCTACATGTGACCCTGTCTCAAAAAACTTTAAAAGGAGGCTGTTGAGATGGCTCAAGGGTTAAGCCAGCATGCTGCTTTTCCAGAGGACCCAAGTTTGGTTCCCAGCACCTAAGTTTAAGTTTGGTGGCTCACAAACCCCTGTAATGACCCTGATGTATAAGTGCACCTTCACACATGTGCACATACACACCATTAACAACAATAAATATATGTTTTTAAGCTCAGGCTGAGTGTGGCATCTCATGTCGTGACTGTACTCCCAGAATGTAGCAGACGGAGGTAGGAAGATGGCCCCCAGCTGGAGACCAGCTGGGCAAAACTGTCTTCCCTAACGCTCTCCTTCACCCAGCCCAAATGAATTTCTCTAATTCTATCATCATTCCAGTTGTTGATGCCTCCTGTGTAACCCATTGCACACTGTGATCAGCTACCCCGCTCCACACTGTGATCAGCTACCCCGCTCCACACTGTGGTAAGTTGTTGTGCATGATTAGAAGTTTCTTACAGAAATATTCCTTAGTCACTACAATTCAAAATGCTTCTCTCCATACTCCCTGCCACATCCTATAAAACTGGGACTCTAAGCCAGGTGGTGGTGGTGCACGCCTCTAATCCCAGCATTTGGGAGACAGAGGCAGGTGGATGTCTCTGAGTTTAAGGCCAGTCTGATCTACAAGAGCTAGTTCCAGGACAGCTAGGCCTATGCAGAGGAAACCCTGTCTCAAAAAGACAAAAACAAAAAACAAAAAGCAGGGACTCTAGATCCTGCCTTCAAACAATCCCTGTCTCCATACTAAACTGTGATTTAATATTTATATATTTAATGCAATTGTGTGGAAGGGCAGAGGACAACTCTCTCTGGGATCAGTTCTCTCCTTTCACCATGGATAGTACTCAGGTCCTCAGGTTTGGCAGCAACTGCCTTTACTCACTGGGCCATCTCCCCAGTCCTAATTTTTGTGCCTCCCAAGTTCTGAAATTAAAGGTATGCAGCCATTTTATAGGGTTTTGAACCCAGGATTTTATGTTAGGCAAGCACTCTACCAATTAAGCCATATTCCCAGCCTGAAATTTTAGTTTTGTTGTTTTATTTGAGATAGGGTCTCACTATGTAACTCTGGCTGGCTTGGAGCTTGCTATGTAGCTCAGGTGTCTTTTTTAAAAAATTTTATTTATTATGTATACAACATTCTGCTTCCATGTATATCTGCACACCAGAAGAGGGCACCAGATCTCATAACGGATGGTTGTGAGCCACCATGTGGTTGCTGGGAATTGAACGCAGGTCTTCTGGAAGAACAGTCGGTGCTCTTAATCTCTGAGCCATCTCTCCAGCTCAGGTGTCTTAGTTGGGGTTCTATTGCTGTGATGAAACACTATGACCAAAAAACAACTTGGGAAGGGTTTATTTGGCTTATGCTTCTACACCAGTGTTTATTGAACACACCAGGAACCTGGAGGTTGCTTTTGCTTGCCTCCCCTGGCTTGCTCTGCTTGATTTCTTATAGAACCCAGGACTGTCAGCCTAGGTATGGCGCCACCCACAATAGGCTGAGCTGTCCCCCATCAATCGCTAGCTAAGAAAATGCCTTACAGCTTGATTTTACATCGTCGGTATTTTCTCAATTAAGAGTCCCTCCTTTCAGATAACTCTAGCTTGTGTCAAGTTGGTATTAAGACTAGCCAGCACACTGGTCTAGCCTCGAACGTTGATCCTCTACCTTTTTATGAGGTGCTGGGGATCAACCCAGGGCTTCCACAGCGGTAGGCGAGCTCTCTAACAACTGAGTTATACCCTCAGCCATTATAAATTAGTTTTTATTCAGCAGGTTCACTATGTAGGCTAGGATGATGCTAGCTTCTGAATTCCCTGCCTCTACCTCCCCAGGGCTAGATAAGGACTCTACCAACTGAGCTACAGGCCCAACCACCATAAATGATCCATTTTTAGACTTTATTATTTGTGTGTGGGGAGGGGGGGTGAGGAGCTGGACTCTAGTGGCAGCCATTGGACAACTCTGTGAAGCTGGCTCGCTCCTTCCACCTTTAGGTGTGTTCTGGGTATCAAACTCGGTCTTCGGGTTTGGGTCTCAGTGGCAGAAGCCTTTTGCCAGTTGAACCTTTGCACAGGCTCCACTCCATGAAGCCGCCTCATTTTGAAACACAGGTGAGAGAGGACACCAGTCTCCAACAGCGCGCTCCTGCTTACTCAGATCCTTTACTACCACCCCCAACTTTCCCCTCGATTTTTCAACAAGGATCAATGGTGATGAGTGGTACAGGGGGCTGGAGAGACGCCTGGCGGTTAAGAGCCCTGGCTGCTCTTCCAGAGGACTCGGGTTCGACTTCCACCACCCACATGGGGCTCACAACTGCAAATAATGATGATGATGATGATGATGATGATGATGATGATAATAAATTTTTAAAAAGTGGTGTGGCATGAAAACGCGACGGGTAGTGCAAGCCCGTCACGCCGGCAGCACGAGAAAGGCTAAGCCGGCACCATCTGACGTCCGGGCCAGCCTGGAACTCGGAAATCGGCCCAGTGCAGGCGCTCCCGAGCAGGGCCGCTGGGACTGAGGTGCCGGAAGGAACGCGCGCGCCGCCAGCCGCGGCGCCGTTAGGTAACCGGCGCGCACACCCGCCGGAGCCGGCGCGGCACGTCCGGTCCGCTCTCCGGAAATCACGCCCCTTCCCTTTTACGGGAAGTCCTGGCTTGCGTCAGAGCGGCCCTAAGGCGGCGGCCGGGAACGGCCTGCCCCACTCCTGACTTCC